TCTATCTATCTATCTATCTATCTATCTATCTATCTATCTATCTATCTATCTATCTATCTATCTATCTATCTATCTATCTATCTTTCCTTCCTTCTTTCCTTCCTTCTTTCCTTCCTTCCTTCCATCCATCCATCTATCTTTCCTTCCATTCATCCATCCTTCCTTCCTTTCTTCCATCCATCCATCTTTCCTTCCTTCTATCCGTCCATCCATCTATCTTTCCTTCCATCCATCCATCCTTCCTTCCATTCATCCATCCATCTTTCCATCCATCCATCATTCCTTCCTTCCATCCATCTTTCCTTCCTTTCATCTATCCATCCATCTTTCTTTCCATCCATCCATCCATCCATCCATCCATATGTATGTGTGTGATGCATTTTAAGAAAGTCATTCTCAAATTTGATGTGCCTTAGATGTTTGGGGACTTCGGTTCCCTTATTTATTTATTTTTGCTGGGATGCGAAAGACTGTCCTGTATATATAAAAGATGCTACAGTCCTGGATCCAACCAAGGCCACTGAAGGTAGTCCTCGATGTATGACCACAATTGAACCCAAAATTTCTGTTAAGTGAGCCATTTGTTAAGTGAGTTTTGCCCCATTTCTTGTCATGGTTATTAAGTGAATCACTGCGGTTGATAAGTTAGTAATCTGGTTGTTAAGTGAATCTGGCTTCTCCATTGACCTTGCTTGTCAGAAGATTGCAAAAGATGATCACATGACCCTGGACACAGCAACAGTCATAAATATGAACCAGTTGTCAAGCATCTGAATTTTGATCACATGACCAGGGAGATGTTGCAAAGGTGGTAGCTGAAAAACGGTCATAAGTTACATTTTGCAGTGCTGTTGTAACTTTGAACAGTCACTAAATGGATTTGTGTTTCTAGTGTTTTGGGCTAGGGGAAATAGTAATGCTCAGAACAAGTCAACTGAATGCAAAAAACAAAAAGCCTGGGTAGTCATTAGTTGGTAACAAACAGATGCAAATTAATCATTGTTTGTTATCATCTGGCACACATCCATACTCTTGTAGTCCAGATATAATAGCCTTAGCTGTAGCCTTCTTTAACTAAACATAATTTGGTAACCATAATTCCTTGAGTTATGAGGATATATTAATTAAAAAGAGTGTGGAGAGGCAGTTTACTAGTAGGCTGGCTATGTGTTCTTGATTTCTCATATAGGATATAATCTTTCAAACCAATTCCCTCATTCAGGGAGGTAGGACACTGTACAGTATATGCAAATCTTTTTCCTTCATTTAAAAAATAAATAAATTTCAAGATATTGCAATTAAAATATCTTTAAAATGCCTATAATTTATGGCACTAAATAGAAACTAAATAGCAATATAATAATATTATTGCTATAATAGGAAAGAAACATAACCTTAGAAGAAAACTAGATTTCTTATAATAACTTAGCTAACGTTAAAAAAAGTGTAAAATGAAGAAAAGAAGTAAAGAGTATATTAAACTACACGCAGGAAAAAATGAGAGGGAAAAATCCTAGAAAATAGAGGGGTAAAATGAAAGCTGTGAGCTAATAAACAAAACTTAAAAAACAAACACCCAAATTATATCTAATTCTATATATTAGATCTACAGAAAAAGATACCTATTAAAAACCTATTTAAAATTGATAAATATATGTTGGATAATTAAACTTCTAAAATTTCTTCAAAAGTTGTAATGGTTTGATTATTAAACAATTAAGCCTAGACCATATGGATATTCCCCAACCATGCCTCTCCTCTCCTTTAATACAAAGCTAATTCAAAGGCTGAGAGTTGATAGTTTTTAATAAGCCAATATTTGGAGTCACAAGATACTTCATAAATACATGGCTGCCTTTTTCACAACAATTTAAGCCTGATATATGTAGTTATTGATAGCACTGAAAAACAAAGATTTCCCTTCCTGAACATTTTCAGATGCATTTTATTGATTTTTGGCTGCTAATCATGAAAATAACTTGTAATTTAACCTTGTAATTTATCACATACTGTTTTATAGAAATCTTTGGTCTTTGCACAATAGCAATGTATGTATACTCATTAGTAGTTGTTGGCTAAGCTAACATATGAAAGAAATATACAAAAACATGTAACTGTTGTTGAAACAAATCCAGTATACCGAGTACAACAGAAATAGTAGTGGCTCTGTTGTGTGAATGCGGCTCAGGTATACCAAGTAGTATACAGGTAGTCCTTGATTTACAACCATTTGATTTACAACCATCTGTTTAGCGACCAAGTTACAACAGCATTGAAAAAATGACTTATGACAGTTTTTGACAGGTCTGTTGCAGCATCCCCATGATCATGTGATTAAAATTCAGGCTTTTGGCAACTGACTCATATTTATAACGATTGCAGTGCCCCAGGGTCATGTGATCACTTTATGCGAGCAAAGTCACTGGGGAAGCCAGATTCAATTTACACCTGTGTTACTAACTTAACATCAGCAGTGATTCCTATAACAACTGTGGCAAGAAAGTTTGCAAAATGGAGAAAAACTG